GGGGGGTCGGGGGGGACGGGGGGGGGGAACGGCGGCGGCCCGGGATGGGCGGGGGGACAGGGACAGGCACTGAGGACAGGGACAGAGCCATGGGGACAGAGGGACAGGGGGACAGAGAGACAGTGACAGAGCCAGAGGGATGGGGACAGCCTGGGGACAGGGACAGAGTCATGGGGACAGAGGGACAGGGGGACAGAGAGACAGTGACAGAGCCAGAGGGATGGGGACAGCCTGGGGACAGGGACAGGGACACACAGGGATGGGGACAGCCTGGGGACAGGGACAGGGACACACAGGGATGGGGACAGCCTGGGGACAGGGACAGGGACACACAGGGATGGGGACAGCCTGGGGACAGCTTGGGGACAGGGACACATGGGGCTGAGGATGGGGACACAGGGCTGGGGACAGCCTGGGGATAGCTTGGGGACAGGGACACATGGGGCTGGGGATGGGGACATGGGGTTGGGGACGGGGACACGGGGATGGGGACAGCCTGTGGACATCCTGGGGATATCTTGGACTGCCCTGGAGACATCAGGGTTTGGTGCCCTTGCTTTGGGGTCTCTGGGACACCCTGGGGACACCCAGGACCATCGTGGGGACATCCTGGGGACATCAGCAGGCGTCCCGAACTGTCCCCAAACTGTCCCCAAACTGTCCCCAAACTGTCCCCAGGGCTGAACGTGCACAGCCTGCTGAAGCACCAGACGCTGGTGCTGACCCTGGGCGCCGTCGCCTTCCTGGAGCAGCGGCTGCTGTGGCACGACTCGCGCTACTCGCCCCTGGTGCCCTTCTCCCTGCCCCACCGGGACACCCCCGGGGCCGCCTGAGACCCCCGGGTGGCGTCTGTCCCCCCCCGGGTGGCGTCTGTCCCCCCCCGGGTGGCATCTGTCCCCACCGTGGGGCAGGATCCCGTCGGGAAAGGATTTGGGGACACGGTGGCACAGCGAGGTTTTGTCCCCTCTCCGTGTCCTGAAAGGATTTCCTGGAGCCCCCCCGGGTGGCATTTGTCCCCCCCCGGGTGGCATTTGTCCCCCCGGGTGGCATTTGTCCCCCCAGGCTGATCCAGCCCCTCTGGCTGGGATCTGTCCCCGCTCCCGTCGGGAATTCGGGCGCTGCTGTGGCCATTAAAGGGACTTTTTTCCATGGATGTTGTTTTTATTTTGGGGCTGGGGGGGGTCGGGGGTTCCCAGCTCCTTTTGGGGCTCCCCCCCCATCCCAATCCCTCTGGGATCCCCCCCAAATTCCAGCTCCTCCATCCCAGCCCCCTCCCCAATATCCCCACCCCTTTTCCAGCCCCTCCTCGGCAGTGCCGTGGCTTTTCCCACGGATTCCGCTGGAATTTTGGGAATTTCGGGGTCGTGCTGGCAGAGGGAATTTTTTGTCTGTGTGTGTGTGACACCCCCCCCCAAAATGTCCCCAAATGTCCCCATCCCGGGTCCCCTCCCCTCCCGCGCTCGGGAATGTGTGAGCCGGAAAAGGAGGAAACTCGGGAAAAAACAAATTCTGACCTCAGCGGTTCCC